ATTTATGGGTCATACTAGAAATGATGCATAAACTCCTCCCCACACACCACAATAAATAATATCAATAAATAATGATGCAGTGTTTAAAGTAAAATATTATTCTACAAAAAATTAATATTGTGTTTAACAGAATAATAATTGACAACGCCTTAGTTTCTAAATTTAAATAGAAACCTAATTAAATTAAAAATCAATTACTCGGTTGCACTAGCCACATTTGATCTGGTCAATACCCACCTGCTATTAGTGGTTACTGTGTTAGACAATGCAAGTCAGAAGGTGGTGACCTGCATTGTATATGTGTAATATATGTATTATACTATATGTATATTATATATGTGTAAGTATACTACTATACATATATAATTATACTTACACATATTACACATATATTATATACATAATATTGAAAAGCATTATGCTGATTTTCAACTGTGCTAAAATGTTATATATGCTGTTTGGGCTAAGTCTTTATGCATTCCCCAAATGCATGTGTTACAACTCTACCCCATCCGTGATGCTATTAGGAGATGGGACCTCTGAGAAGTAATTAGGATTAGTTAAGCTTCCTTGCTCTCTCTGCCCTCAGCCATGTGAGGGCACAAGGATCAATGGGCATTCTTCAATTCGGAAGAGGTAGTCTATACCCTGACCATGCTGGTTCCATCATCTCAGGCTTCCAGCTTCTGAAATTGTGAGAAAGACATTTTTGTTGTTTATAAACCACCTAGTCTATGGTATTTTGCTAGAGTAGCCCAAACTAAAAATATGTGTATATATGTGTGTGTGTATGTGTATACATACACATACACACACACATACACACACACATACATACACACACACATAAAATATGTGTATATATGTGTGTGTGTATACATACACACACATATATAATTTCATTAAAAAACAATTAAAATCTACTTTCTACTGCTATAGATTCATGAAGTGTAAGACAGCAGAATATACTAACTTTGAAAGCATATAATGATATTTACTTTTCATTAGATAATTTTTACAACTATACTATAGATGCTGTACATATGAAAAAAAGACAATAATGTTTAATTAGAAAAAAATAGCTTGCTTATATAATCCAAAAACCACATTGAAAGCATAGAATATGTCCTACTGGAAAAAGAAATTTATCACTAATCTTCTGTACTGTTGAGTGTTAAGCATGCCTGGCTATAGAAAATAATATTATAAATAGTAAATATTGATTGGATGATATGTCATGAAACTTTATGGGTGGAACTAAAGGCTATCTGTGATTTTTATTTTTTAAATAATTTTTAAAGCAACATTTTTTTATTAAAAGATGTTATTTATTTATTTTTATGGAGAAGAGAAGGGAGTGAGAAAGAGAGGAAGAGAAACTTCAACGTGTGGTTGCCTCTTGGGCTCGCTCTACTGGGGACCTGGCCTGCAGCTCAGGCATGTGCCCTGACTGGGAATTGAACCAGTGACCCTTTCTTTTGCAGACTGGCACTCAGTCCACTGAGCCACACCAGCCAGGGCTAGCTATGATTTTTAAAGAACTTTGAAAACTCAACACTGTGTCTACATTTGTTGAATAGTTCCTTCCAATTCTATGATTTTGTGTGTGACAAAGTGATAGTTATCTTAATTGCAGAACCCTGTTCAATGAAAGTTAACAGTTATTATTAGTAAACACAGTATACTAAACATTTTTTTTCTGTTTGAGAAAAAAAGAATGACAGTCTAAACTTTTGCACTTACATTTCCACAAAAGTTAAACACAGTCTTCAAATCAGTCATAGCAATGTCAGCTGAAATACTTTTACAAGTGGATTGGCATTTGCCTATTGTGTTACTATAAAACTCATTAATGCTTATTAAAATTTATTAATTAATAATAGTTAATGCTAATTATATGCTCATTCAAAATAGCAATACTCAAACTAAAAGTTTAATAGTGTTGATGAGATGCTGTATTAGGGACACATTAACAGTCCAGAAGTCAACCCATCCGAATGTTGGAAAAAATAACTCAAGCTATAAATAAATTACAGCCAACTATCTTCCAGATTTGAACAAGTGTCTGGATGTTTGGCACCGTATATGAAAGTTCCAGATGGTTGACTAGACTTGTCCCTTTTCATTTGGAGGCTTTTCCCCAGTTTCATTCAGTTTTAATGTTCATTCACAGAGACATCATTTGCCAGGATACTCGTGTCTTCTGTTAACAGAACATGAGTCATATTTGGGCATGCCATCTTTCAGCAAATTAAAATAACAGTAACTTACCATTAAATTTCATATTTGGGTTTTTATACCTACTGTTAAACTTAACCTCGTGTCTTATAATGACTTCGAAATGCCAATTCACTCTACATTAGAGTAATATTCAGAGTCTCAAAGACAGTGGGCACTGAAAAAGTATTTGATTAATATATAAACAAAAGTAATTCAAGATCGTTCCAAAGAAAAATACAATTAGTAAAGCCTAGAGAGCCTAACTTAAAGGGTAGAAGCTTCTAAAAATATAGAAAATTAATAAGATATATGAAGGAAATCCAAATGGTTGTACTACCAAGTGATATGCAGGGATGTTATTTAGTCCTGTTTGCATGATTGGTCTGTACAGCTATTCTAACGATCAACTGTGGATGCTTTGTGCTGGGAGGCAGCAGGGAGAGCCTGAAACACAGCCATCCGAGGGCATTTCACTTTACCTTCTGGAGTCTGGCTGACAGCGGCTGGATGGGGAGTTTTTAAAGGAACGCATGACATGAAATGTTAACAGTTTATAAATATTGTTTTTCATGGGAATAGGAGTGATTGAAAGGCAGCTCCCTTTTCTGTCAAAAGCGATTAAACTGAGGATGTGTTAATAAGTCAGTTCCAATGCTAACAAAATGTACAGTTTGTGTAGAAATGCTAATTGAGCTTCTTGAACGGGCACTGGAATCAGGAAACCAGTTTCTGGAGAAGGCATTACATATTTCTAGGCTCCAGTCTCCTTGTCATCTCCGGCACACGCTTAGGAGTTATGAATATACAACATATGCCAATCAAGTGTGTGTGAAAGTTCTTTAAACAAATCCAGGATCCAAGCATCAGATGTCTGTCATTATGGAAGATTGTATAACTTTCTGAACTGGAGAGTTCACTGAATTTCCCTCTAGGTTAATACTGTGATGACAAGCAGAGAAACTTTGCAACCCACTGGTCTCTTCCACCTCTATGCAAATTACACGCTGCTGTGTAAGCATCAGCGGTTTTCATGCAGAATGGCAGCCAATGGTGAGCTGCTGATGGCTGGTTCTGTCCCGCCAAAGGCAAGCTCGCAGAACTAGTCATAGTCATTGCCTCTTCCTGGATGCTTTACTCTCCATCTCACAATTTTATGTTTTGTCAATGATTCATCGACACCTCTTGTTAGCTCCTGAGGTTTGGTGTTGCCTCATTGACAGCCAAGAATTCCACATTTCAATTATTTTGGCTGTTAACTCCCCACATATGTTGTTGGCATTGTTAACTGAGAAAAGGAAGAAGTACAACTTGTGCAGCAATTAAGTCAGCACTGTAGAAAGAAGTAATATATGGCTCTTCAACTGATGACCGTTGAAATCACTGACTTTCTCGTCCGTGGGCTGTGTAGCAAATGTGAGTTGCTATTTAAAGACACTTAATCAAGAAAGATCCTAATGGTTCGTATTTTTCTTTAAAAGTGAAAGTACATTCTATATAATTTGAAAACAAAGAAGTAGAATCATTGAAGACTCAAGAACAAATGCAAAAAGTAACATGCTTCTGGTGTTTGCTGGCAGCAAGAAGAAAAATTCATAGAGTAATGCAAGCGATAAATAATAACTAAGACCATTTTGTATTAAAATGATTAGGTTTGGGTTTGATAGTCAAGAAAGTGACCTGTCCAAATTAGCTGATCTTTATTAACAGTGGTTAATTAAAACAAGAAAACAATCACACTTATAAAACTTCTATTTCAAAAAAATGTTGAATTGTCATAGTAACATTCACCAAATCACATGAGGCTTGATCCGTTGCCTCTCACATGTGTCTTGCACGCCTCTCATTTGCCGACTGGGAATCTAACTGGCGACCCTTCACTTGACAGGATGAAACCCAACCAAATGCGCCATCCTGGTCAGAGCTTAGGGCCACTTTTATTAGACAACCCTTTGTCATTCCCCAATTCTTCAAAGGAAGAACTAGACATATTCCTCTTATGTGTTCCACTGTACATTGTAATAGTTTTCTGCACCTATTTATTTTAGTTTCTATCATATTTTTCATTGAGTGTGCACATGTGCACGCACACGCGCGCACACACACACACACACACACACACACACACACACACAACCCCTGGAGTTATCTTTGGGAGGAAGTGTAGTACAGGCTTATCCTGCTAGGTGAGTGTTGTAGGAAACCACCTGTAACAGTGTGCCTGCTGGTGTCATTGTGAGAGGCTGAGTTGGACTTCAGTGAATTTTATTTGAGACTCTTGCAAGGCATTTGTCCATTTCATGATGGGTGATTTATGAGTGCACCTGCCCACACTGCAGTAAGTGTTCAGCAGTTTTTTGTCAAAAACATCATGATCCCCATGCTCCATACTCCCTATTCACCTGATCTTGCCCTGAGTGACTTTTTTTTTGTTTCCCTGGTTTACAAAAGTCCCAAAGGGAGATGTTTTGCTGATATGTAAGAGCTGAAACAAAAAAAGGCAGAAGCACTAAAAGGCATCAAAATTGATGAGCTCAAAAACTGTTTTGATTAGTGGGAAAAACTTCTTGATAGGTGTATTGCATCAAATGGAGAGTACATTGAAGGTGACTGAAGTTTAAGCATGTAAGAATAACTGCACAATTTTCTTACAAATAAATTACAGGGTTTTCTGTGCCACCTCTCATAATCAGAGGCAATAAAACATAAAGAGCAAATTGGAGACTGAGAAGTCCCTCTCCTCCCAAAGTTTCATGTATTCTATTTTATTATTTATCTTTTTAAAATATGGAACATGCTTCACACATTTGCATGTCATCCTTGCACAAGGGCTGTGCTGATCTCTGTATTTCCAGTTTCAGTGTATGTGCTGCCCAGGGCGGGCTCAGGCTCTGTTGTCTCAGAGAGCAGTTTCAGGGGGTGGTTGTGGCTGTGATATGTGTCCTGTGTCATGGGTTGAAGTGGAAATGGATGTCAGGGACTGGGGATGGGTAGCAAAGAGTCATTCTCTAATAAAATGTTGCTGTACATAAAAAGGAAAATGGAGTGATAGCTGGGAATTCAGGGTGTTTTAAGGGAGGCAGATATAACCTTAAGTAAGAATTTTTTGACCGCAGGGTTGTGTTTTCCATTCTACGTTTCTATCTGCTCCTTTTTAAATTTAATTTGCTAGCCTGTTTTCCTAGAGAGACAGATTATTTTCATTTTCAGTCTTATTTTTTCTCTACTAGCTCTCTGAGAGATTTTCCACACCGATGGTTTTCTTCAGTATTAACTTCATTTGAAAGAATCTGTCTCAAATTTTAGTTCTTGATCCTAGACTGCTTCTATTTTACATTTAGACTATTTCTTCTTGGAAAATATTTGGGCAGTACCCATTTAACACTTACAAAACAAAACACTCACCATTTCCCTGTAAGGTACTTGACCCACTGCCTGCGTCACGTTCCTGGTTTTGGAATGACGACCGTCATCCCTTCACTCACGTCAAGTCCCTAGGGGCTCTCTGTGCTTTGCAATGTCTTCCCATCTGTTCCATTCTTTCTCTTTTTGTTGTCACGATCCCAGTTAATTTCTTACCATCCTTGTTGGAACACTGCACTTACCTCTCTGACGGCAATGTTGAAAAATAATCTCAAATATTTGTTAGTCTCTACTGCATTATTTTGAGTATACCTCTTCCTTAACGAACACCCTTGAATGGTAGACCATCAACACTACTCTATATGTTAAGATTGCTCTCCCAAATGTGAATTAGATCCAAAGATGGAAAGGGGTTTGATATGTAACCTTCTTAGGAAACAATAATGGCCTGCAGGCAGAGAGTTAGGTCTCTGGGGTTAAAACAACCCAGAGCATCTATTTAAGAAAATAAGCATCTATTTAAAAGAAAAAAAAATGTCTTGGTTAATAGAGTCATTGCTCTGTGATCACATTACTAGGGACACATGATTTCCCTTCAGCTGGTAACCAGATATAACCTATTTGGTTTGTTCACCCAAAATTGCCAGACTAGCCTCACTGTTAAAGGGATGGTTAAGGTGTAGCTGTGAGTATATCAACCTGGCTCTTCCCCCTTCATCATTTTAAGTTCCTATTTTTGATCCCTAATCCATGGTACTCTGAATTTAGCTTTCAGAATATCTGCCCAAACAAGCCCATATCTAGTTCTAGCCCCCTCCTCTCCATTGCTACTATTTTCTTTGGACATGAACTGCAACATCGACTCTTTCTGGGATGTTCATTCTGAAGGTCTTTGAACTTGCACTGTAAAATTGACTCTACCCTGTCTACAGCCTGCTGGTCTACCCCTCAGATTTTGGATTTGCAATCCTCCTTAATAATGTGAACACACACACACACACACACACACACACACACCCTTTTGGTCTCTTTTCTCTAGAGAACCCTGACTAATACACTGAGCAAGAAATGTTGCCTCCTACCATGTAATATTGTGTACAGGTCAAGGCATGTGCATGGGACCCATTCTAATCTGTTCTAGGACAATGGTCGCAAGATCAAGCATGGAAGTCAAACTTTTTTTGCATTAATATTTCCAGCACTTATTTTTTTTGGCCTTGCCTCTTCTAATCCATCTCACACATTGCAGCCAGGGGGTCTTTCTAATAGCACACATGTAATGATGTTATTACCTTCTTTTGTAAAATTCTCCAATCAACACCACATAACCTTCCCAAAGAGTCCAACTGAGAATGCCCTCCGTGGCCTGTCCTGCTGTCTCCCCCTCTCATATCCCATGTCCCAGCCAAGGTGAACCACCTGTGGGGGTCCACAAACATCTATCCTGTCTTCTCCCTGGAACCTGATCTTTAAGTTGTTGATTTTGCCCAAATACGCTCCCTAACTTTTCTACCTAGTTAGCACCTACTTATCAGTTCACACTTCAAATACTCCAAATGCTCTCCTTTCCTACCTGGCTTGGCTAAGGCTGACCATTTTCTACTCTGTGCCCTCTTAGGCCAGTTTTAGGTAGCTAGGGTCTGTGACATCTTGAGTTCCTGCTGCACCCAGACTTTTCATACTCAAGATTACACCCTGTTCCAGCAACGATGGCCAATCGTCATTCACCATGGCCTCAGGACTCAACAGGGACACCAGCCACGGCTGTTCACAGAAAGATTTTATGCTTGTTTAGTCAAATGGAGACCATGTATATACCACCGCACCAGGTAATAGTTTCAACAAAGGCTGTCTGTACGTGGGAAAGGTTTAAGAAAAAAGATGATGCTAGAGCAAAGGAAAATGTCTCCTTGTTCCGCCTGAACAAGGAGAATTCGATCGCATTAAAAGAGAGCTGTTTGGTTCAATGTCAGAGTTCAGGGTGGATCACCCATGACATCACAGGAGAGGACAGACCCTAGACTTAGGATTCCTTATGACCTTGGTCAGGAAACAGTTAAGTTATAAGTTTGGAGGCATCTGTAACAGCATTCATGCTCATGGAGGCTTTGTAAGACTTCCTCCTACTGTTTTGTTAATCTGTTTTTCTCTAAGAGAATAAAAATTCTGTTAAAGGAAGAAAATGCTGCCCCCAAAAGAAGGATAATTGAAGAAATATTTGTGAATAAATGAAGAAAAGGATGGAGACAGATAATAAAAGCCTAACTAATCAGCCTTTGGTTGATTGCAGTAGTAATTAACATCAGTATCTTCAACTGGTGATTGGAAGTTGACACTTAGTAACCCCAGCGTCTAGAGAACTGAAGGAATGGTCTTTCTCCCTGTCCTATTGATTGTCCCCTATTGTCCTGCCAGGAGCGGAGGCACTTAACCTTATCTGGTTTGACCCTGACAACAAGTGTAGGAGATAAATATTATCTTCATTTTATAGATAAGAAGAAATCAGAGGAGACAAATACTCGTTTAAATTCTCCCATCTAGTAAGAGCAGAGTTCTAAAGCTCATGTTCTTTCTAGTTTGTGTTTGCAGACTAGTCACTGCTGTGTTCGGCCTTCATAAGGGAGGGCATTCTGATGTACGGTACAGCCTTGAGGACGCTGTGCCAAGTGAAATCATCTCGTCACAAAGAGACAGCTACTGTATGATCTCCTTATGCGGAGTGTCTGAAGCAAATTCATGGAGACAGGATATTTCTATGAATTTAACTTGAGCCCTTCACTCAAGTTAAATTTATCTACTTAGCACCCCTTAATGCTTCAGCCTCTCAGCCTTCTGGGTCTCTGGTTGTTTTACTTTTCCCTGTCATTCCTTTCTCCTCCATCCTTTGGCACTTTAGTAAAATCCTTTTTATAAAATGGCTTCGTTTAGCTCAGGGTTTCTTCACTTTAGCATTACTGACGTTTGGGCCAAATAATTCTCTTTTTTGCGGGGTGGAGGGATGCTGTGCATTGTAGGATAGTTCGCAGCATCCCTGGCATCTATCCACTAGACACCAGTGGCATCTGCCCCGCCTAGTTGTGACAGCCAAAAGTACCACCAGGACTTGCTCAACATCCCTGGGGTGGGGGTGGAGGTGGGGGTGGGGGCGGCTGCCCCCGGGTGAGACCGACTGCTCTAATCCCTTCTTTTCTACAAATATTTCAGAACTGTTCAGAAGCCTCCCTACAAACCACAGCCTTTTGTTGGCATTGTATTTGCAGTTAAACATGCACTTCCTTTAGACCTCTCTTTCCAGATTTTCAAATAAAAATCTTTACTAGTTGTTGTGAGATTGCCATTGAAGTTAATGAGTCCATTTATAAATGTGTTATTTACGGGAAGAAAATTTTTCAGTTACCGCTGAGGAAAAGCCTGCTGAATTTGTGTTGTAAGCATTACTTGACACAGTATAAAGATGGAAAGATGACAGAACTGTCTTCATTCCTCCTCACACTGGCATTGCAACCGGAGAACCTTCCTTCCCTCTCTTTCCTCTTCCTCCTCCACTTCCCATTCATTATCACCTTCTTGTATTCAGAGAACACTTGGACAAAGGGTCTGATAGAGAAATGTTTCAATAGAATCATTGCCCATGTACCAGTAACTTATACTCAAAGATGGGATGGAGTTATCAAGTTCTTTTATAATACAATATTATTGTTAAAGGCAAGGGTTGACACCACTGTTTTTTTTAGAGTTTATTTATTTTTAAACAGAGGGGAAGGGAAGGAGAAAGAGAGAGAAACATCGATGTGTGGTTGCCTCTAGTATGCCCCGTACTGGGGACCTGGCCCACAATACAGGTATATGCCCTGACTGGGAATCGAACTGGTGACCCTTTGGTTCACAGGCCGGCGCTCAATCCACTGAGCCACTAGAGTCAACAAGCTAGAGCCAACACCACTGTTCAATGTTGACATGGCATGCCTTAAATAAATAACTGTTCAATATGAAAAAGAAATAAAACATAAAATAAAACAGAAATGAAGTTCTTAATAATCCTTTGTGTTTTTTCAAAGAATAGACATCTGACAATTTGATTATTCTGTGGCATGAAAATTTGAATCAACTTATAATGTGAAATGATTTAAAACACCTAATGACAGCAGCAGCTCAAATCCTAGTTGTCAAGTCGCACGGGAGGAAAATGACAAATGCCATCTACTCTTCCGTGACTGTCAGTGCATCAAGTGAATTTCCTGAACAACAACAAAAATGTGGGTCTCTACACAGGTTTTCTATTATATTGGAAAAGGCAAGGGTTAAAAAAAATGAGGTGAAGTAATAAATCATGAGATCGTGTTTGCAGCCTCATGCAAAAGCAAAGTCACTGTTGGCCAGAGAGAGTAAAGAAGACAATTTGTAAGCCTGCAGTATTTTACCTCTCTGGAGAATGCATTAAGCCTTCTGCATTCCCACAGGCATGGGAAACCAGCAGATTCTAACATCTTTCAGGTGCTCAGGCCTATGGACTGTTCCCGGAG